GAGTCGGGAGCCCCAGTACTGAGTAGGGAGGGCCTGGGAAAGGGAAATACACAGCCACCATACTGCACATCTCCAGGAGACCACCTGCTTGGCAGCCCTGGAGAATCCATACAAGAACCCCCTCATTTACATCCTGAAGCCAGGTTACCAAGTACCCTAGATCCCTATGATGCAGCTGCAGTCTCTCTCAAATTGTCATTTCTTCATCCCTCCCACCATCACCACCTCACAGCCATCTCTTGTCTGGACTACCAAACCACAGCCTCACCAATGGTCTCCCTGACCTATCCTACCCATTCCTCTACCAAATTAACAAAAATAAATAAAATATGCCCCCTGAGCACCAACTCTAGGAGTAGGAGCAGATTTAGTGAGTACGTGATCTTAATGGTTTCTAAAGAGGGCAACCTTTCTACAGCCAGAGTAAACTTTATGTGCAAATCTGATCACCTGGCTTAAAACTCTGCCTCAACCTCCCTTAGCCTTTGAGATAAATTAGTGACTCAGGCTCACTGTTCTCCCACTAGTCATTCCTTTTGCAGAGCTAACTTTTACAGTCTTCCAGGGCCTGGGAAACTTCTTTCAGACCCTCATCTGTGATCCCACAATTCCCAGTGCTTTTGCTTCTGAAAACATTGTCTTCTACTTGTCTGAATTAGGTCTCCCTACTACCAGATCACATTTTGTGGAGAGCAGGGCCAGGTCATTCACACTAGCCTATGAATTAAGAACACAAAGAAAGCACAGAGGCTTCAAGAGAATCAGGACAGGGCATGCATGGCTGACAGTAGCAGCGCTTCTGACATGCATGTATTGAAGCTTCTTTGGAAACCACCAATGATGTACTCACTCAATCTGCTCCTAGTCCTAGAAGTGAGGTTCACAGAGGATGTTTTACTTATTCATTTTATTTAATAACTGCAAGGGGGGGCTCTTAGCACTGGCCTTAGAAAGAGTTCAGCCAGCCCTATTTGGTTTAGCTCAGTGGATAGAGCATTGGCCTGCAGACTGAAGGGTCCCGGGTATGATTCCCGTTAAGGGCATGTACCTCGGTTGCAGGCTCAAACCCCAGCCCTGGTCAGGGTACGTGTGGGAGGCAACCAATTGATGTGTCTCACATCAATAGTTTCTCTCTCTCTCTGTCTCTCCCCCTCCCTTTCACTCTCTAAAAATCAATGGAAAAATATCAAGTGAGGATTAAAAAAAAGAGAGAGAGAGAGTTTACCTGAAACAGTTATACCTTCACTGGACAGAAATAACTCTCCCCATCTCATTAAAATCCAGACTTATTACCAATGGACCTACCTGTCCAGAACTAAATATTATAACTGAACCTTCCTTCTCAGATGGCCAAAACCCCCCTGAGGGAGGCAGAGCTCTGGGGCTCTGAAGAGGACAAAGGAAAGAACAATAGGACCTGGAAGTCCCCGTGTGAAAAATTCTGCCACTAACTTGCTGTGTGCCTCTGAGAAAGTAACCTAAACTCTCTGGGCCTTAAGCTGGGACAAAAAAAGATAGTTGGGCCCTAACCGGTTTGGCTCAGTGGATAGAGCGTCGGCCTGCGGACTGAAAGGTCCCAGGTTCGATTCCGGTCAAGGGCATGTGCCTTGGTTGCGGGCACATCCCCAGTGGGAGGTGTGCAGGAGGCAGCTGATTGATGTTTCTCTCTCATCGATGTTTCTTGCTCTCTATCCCTCTCCCTTCCTCTCTGTGAGAAATCAATAAAATATATTTAAAAAAAAAAAAAGATAGTTGGGCTGATTACTCAGGTCCCTTTCAGCCCACACTTCTGGGAGCTACCAGGCCAGGTGGGTCCAAGTCTAGCATAGAAACCACCAGAAGCCCCAAGCACTCCTGTTTCAGCTTCCCCTCCTCCCTCACCAAAGAGAAAAAGCCTAACAGCTCTGTGTGGGAGATAAGAATTGCTGACTCCACAAAAAGGGCCTCCCCCTCAGGGGATGTGAGGACAGAGAGGAAACCACAGCCAGGTGGGGTAGGGAAGGGCAGGGTGGAACTGGGATTTGGGGGTTGGGGGGATAGAAGACCCACTAGAGTGCTAGCAAGGTACAGGGAACAGCCTTAGGAGTCCCATTTCACTCTGAAATCTGCCCCATGAGCTGTCAAGGAAAGAAACCTGTGCGTCTTAAGTAGTAAGTCAGCCCTGATGATGAGGATGATGACAATGGAGTACAGTAAAAGATAGGGGCTCTGACAACTGCCTAGGCTCAAACGACATCTCCACCATCTGCTACCTATGTGAGCCTCAGTTTCCTCAACAAATAATGGGGCTAATAGTACCTACTCTTACTGGGTAGTCATACGGATTTAATGAGATAATGCCCTTACCTCAGTACCTCTATCACAGTAAGCACTTAATAGAAGTCAGCTATCATTAACCTCGTTGTTTTTTCAAACAATGGCATCTCAACCCAAGCAGTACTTTAGAATCCCTTTAAAAGCTTTTAAAAAATACCAGTGTGCTCTAGCCGGTTTGGCTCAGTGGATAGAATATCAGCCTGTGAGCCAAAGGGTCCTGGGTTTGATTCTGGTCAAGGGCACGTACCTTGGTTGCAGGCTCCTTTCCGGCCCAGACCCAGGCCCGGGCCTGCCCTGGTCCGGCGCATGCAGGAGGCAACCAATAGATGTGTTTCTTTCACATCAGTGTTTCTCTCTGTCTTTCCCTCTCTCTCCCACTCTCTCTAAAAATCAATGGAAAAATATCCTCAGGTGAAGATTAACAACAACAACAAAATATATATGCAAGGCCCCGCCTCCAACAACTCTAATTTAAATGGGTGGGCATAGCATAGTTTATAGCCAGGTGTGTAAGGCAGTGGGCTAAGAGCTTTCCAGGTGGAGCCAAAATTAATCTGTGCATTCAACAAATGTTTTTGATGACTACATTTCAGGTAGCAACAGTACAGGAGTAAAAAGACAAAGTCTCAGCCTTCACAGAATTTACAATCTAATAGAGAAAGGCAAATAAACAAATTATCAATAGGATTTAAAATTATAGATTATATGAAGTAAATTAAATAGAGCAATGATGGGAGGTGATATGCAATATTGTAGGTCCGAGTAGACAGAGAAAAACCACTGAGCCAGGACGAGGTAACTTTTGAGTTGATATCTAAATATTAAATATCTAAATGAATTGATTAGGCAGCAGGGCCAGCATTCCAGTCAAAGAGAATAGAAATTACAAAGCTTTGAAGGCAAGACCAAGTAGATTCTAACCCGGAGCTCTGATGCTAGGAATGCTTCTCTGACCTTGACACCCAGAACTTCAGAGGAAGCAGACAGGGCAGGAGACGCCAAGAGATGATGCCTCCAAATCAGCTCTCCCCTATTCCCTGAGACAGGAAGTCAATAATAATAATGGTGGATAACAACCGTGATTACCATTGGCTAAGCATTTATTTCACATGCACTTTAAGGCAGGTACTGCTACTACTAGGGTGCCTATTTTATAGCTGAGGAGTGAGGCTCAGAGAGATAGTCACTTTGAGTCACTCAGCCAAGGAGGTAGCGAAGTTGGGATCCAAACCAGGTTTCTACAACAACAGACACTATTCCCATTCTCTAAACTTTTCAAGGTCTCAACAGCCCCAAGGCTTTGCATCTGGGGTTCACCAGGATCCAGGAGCTCCTTCTCCCTGCCCACATCCCCAGAAATCCAGTACCCCCAAGCACAGCACCTGTCATACTGCATCGTTTCTTACCTTGAGGGAGCACACTGGAGCTAGTTCCCTGTTCTTAACCCGTATCTAGCACAGAGCAGTCCAACAGAACTTTCTGCAACGATGGAAGTCTATCTGCATGTCAAAGGTGGTAGCCCCTAGCCATGGGGCTGAGCATTTGAAATGTCACTAGTGCAACTAAAAACTGAATTTTAATTTTTAAAACAATTATCAAAATTTAAATAGCCACATGTGGCTAAGGGCTACCATATTAGACAGTGCAGTTTCAGCACACATGATAAAGGCAAGACCACCCCCCCCCAATTTATAGATTAAAGAAAGGAAAGCAGAAGGGGCAGGTGACCTACCAAAGTAACACAGCTAGTATGGGCAGAGGGAAGATCAACGGTTACTATTCCTATAGTTCCAACTGAGGGGTCCCTCAGGGCAGCAAGAACACTCATCAGTCAGCCCTCTGGGTGGCCACTCAACAGGGAGGGTTTCAGGCAAGTTGTAAAAGAGGACAATCACCTCCGAGCTCAGTGCCTGGCTCCTAATGTAAGTGCTTGCTAAATGTGAGTTGTTATATCAGCTTAGGCACTTGTATAGTTTCCATCTAATCTTCATCAGTTCTGGTGTGGGGGTGGGGGTCTCTATTTTGCACTTGAGGAAAGATTAAGGTTCCACAAGTGGCCAATCTGAGATTTAAACTCAGCTCAGTCTGGCTTCCAGGGGTTCTGTCCACCACCCATATCAGCCTCTTGGAGTAGCCCCAGCCTTCATTCCTGGTATCCTAGCCGCAGCTTGCAACCCCCAGGACTCAGCTACAGGCACCTGCGAAGTCACTCTGCCAGCTGGGAAGGGCAGAGACTACTCCACCCCCACCCCTACCCGGTGAGCAGCTGTGGTCTGCTGAACTCAGACACATGCCTGGGTTTACACCTGAGAGGGATACATAGCGCAAGCAGCCTCTGACCAGCCTTGGGGGAGGGGAGTGTGCGCGGTGCCTCAGACTGACCATGGGCGGGGCACCGGGCTAAGTGCCTTACACATCTGACCTGGCTGATTCCCCCCAACCATGTGCAGGGAAATGGGTCCTACTATCCCTTCCTCAGCGACAGCTCACTGAAGCTCTTTCTGGGTCCTGTTCCAGACTAGCACAGCTCAGATCGAACTTCAAAGCCTGCGCAGTTCACAAGGGTCAGCTAAGCCAAGAGGGGCAAATAGTTAAACGCACTTATTAGGTGCTAAGAACAGTGCTGGGGATGTGACCTATAGAGTGTTTCTAGCCCAGCAAGGGGAACAGACAAGAAATGCCTGGTTATACAACTGTCACACTGTAATTGGGATAAAAAGCTCCTACAGGAGAAGGGGGACTGGGAGAGGGTATGCAAAGGGGCCTTATCTGTCCGGGAGGAAAGGCTTCCCTGAGGAAATGATGTTTGAGGAAGTGATCCTTGAGCCTAATAGGGCTCTGAACACATGCTACCAATACTAGATAGAGTGAAGTGTCTAACGGCATAAACCCCTTGAAAGGGTGTGTGAAGTGATGGTAGTTGAGGGGACCATACATGTGGGTTTCCCTTGGACCTTGGGCTATCAGGCTTTTTAAGTTCAGCACCTTGCTGTTTTCTAAGGAAGACATCTTCTCAAGGTCCTCTTTAAGAGAAAATATGTAGAAAGGGTTCAGACACCACCCACTTTCCTCTCTCAGACCTGTGGCTTCCATCTAAAGGCCACTCCCTCACAGCTTGCCCAGACCACTTCCCAGGCATTGTCCCTAAGAGGGATGGACCAACCCTCACTTCAGGCAGGAGGGACACCCTCAAACACACCCTGTAAGACACCCTGGGGAAAAGAGATAGAAATGTTTGCTGGCCACATTCTACAAGAGCTAGCATTTTTGACAAGGTTACTGTGTTCCAGGTATTGTGCTTTGGCCTTTGTATTCTCAGTCAAATTTGCATGGGAGGAAGATGCAGATCTGAGAAGTGATTACTTGGCCAAGTTCACACAGCAAGTGAGTGGGAGGGCTAGTACATGAACTGAGAGCTCTGCCCAGGTGCTCTTATTTTTATTATTACTATTTCTAAGCCTTACCTGAGGATATGCTCACAAAGAGGGAGAGGAAGAGAAAAATGGATCAGTTGCCTTCCATACATGCCCTGACCTGAGATCGAACATGCCACCCAGGTATGTGCTCAACCAACTGAGCCACTCCAGCCGGGCTAGGCGCTCTTAATAAATATTACAGCCCTGACTGGTGTGGCTCAGTTGGTTGAGCATCGTCCTGTGCACTGAAAGGTTGCCAGTTGATTCCCAAGTCAGGGCACATACCTGGGTGGCGGGTTTGATTTTGTCAGGGCACATATAGAAGGTAACCATTGATGTTTCTCTCTCTAAAAAATCAATTAAAAATCTTAAAAAAAAAAAAAATATATATATATTACACCAGGTTCTTAAATAACATTGTTTCATTCAACATTGTTTATATCAATTAGCCTATGGTAAGGTTGGTTTCCTTATGCATCATTTTGCATAAAGTCACAGAACCTATAGACCAGGGGTCCTCAAACTTTTTAAACAGGGGGCCAGTTCACTGTCCCTCAGACCGTTGGAGGGCCGGACTATAGTTTAAAAAAAAACTATGAACAAATTCAGCAACAGGCAGCAGCGGCAAAAACACCCAGCAGGCCGGATGTTTTCGGCGGGCCGCATGTGGCCCGCGGGCCGTAGTTTGAGGACCCCTGCTATAGACCATGTTAAATGAGAACTTACTGTATTTCCATTTTTTAAAAAATATATTTTTATTTATTTCAGAGAGGAAGGGAAAGGGAGAGAGAGAGAGAGAGAGAGAGACAGAAACATCAATGATGAGAGAATCATTGATAGGCTGCCTCCTGTACACGCCACACTGGGGATCGAGCCCGAAACCCAGGCATGTGCCTTGACCGGGAATCGAACTTTGACCTCCTGGTTCATAGGCCTATGCTCAACCACTGAGCCACGCTGGCCAGGATGTATTTCCATTTTTTCACAAAGAAGGAAACAGAGTGGAGTGACTTGGTCAAAGTCACACAGCTGAGAGTGGTTTTATTCCCCCACGTGTGACTCCTAAACCATGGTGGGGAAGGGTAAACAAAGTAACAGAAACCGCAGGACACAAACCATCCACTGGTGGAGGTAGGACCTCCCCAGAAACCATGCTGCTCAGAGAAGCCCAGCGATTTTCCCCGGATCACCATTTAGTACTAGCAATTGTCTGTCTCCCAACCGCAGTAATACACTTGTGCCACTCTCCAGGCCAGGAAACTAAAGAAACAAACAAAACTCCCTGTAGTGCCAAGCACATTCGGAAATCCTAGAGACACCCAGGCCAAAAAAAAGAGCTATTCTGTGGTGTTAGAGAAGAAAGCGTCTCCATAGTCCCTCCTGGACCTCAATTTCCCCTCCTGTAAAATGGGACTACAGCATAGCTCATATTTTGCTAGTTTAGTTCGGAGGACTCAGAGAAAAGGCAAAACCCGAGCCTGGAATCTAATAGGTGCTTTATAAGATATCTATTATCGGTGGGGGGGGGGCGGCATGGGGGAGGCGAATGGTCAGATTAGGCCCAGCCTTATTCCTAGCCTCACTGCAAAGGGAGTCCCCGCGAAACAAACTTTTGAGACCTCAGACCACCTAGTCGGGCACAGCCTAATCCGCGCTTGATTTGGGAGCTACGGCCAGGGTTTTCGCCTTCTCCCCGGAGCTTTGGCCGCCGCCGGCCGCATACCCGGTAGCCGGCCAAGGCCCGGAAGCAACCGCGCCCCCTTCCAAATTGGGGTGCAGGTGGGGCGGGGGACCAGGTCAACCTTCGTTGGCCAGCCCCAGGTGTCCCGCTGCCCGCGCTGGGGGGCTGGAGCGGGAACG